TGAGTGATCTCTCACAGAAACAAAGATCTGAGTATCACATGCTCTCACTCATATAGTGGACCTTGAACATCTATCATAATACTATAAGAAAAGGACTGAAAGTGGTGGGGAACTATGGGTGGGTAGGGAAGGGAAGGGAGGTGGGACTAACGGTAGTCAATATCTGTCTGGGGATGGGAAGACACCCCTTATTAACAAGGGTGCCTGAATGATGCACATTTGTATACCTAACCCTTAACTGTACCTCACAATTTAATAATAAAAAATATGTTTAAAAAATAAATAAATAACTTTAAAGACTTATTCTCATTTTGCAGTTATAGAAAATGAGGTATTCTACCTTTTAGATAATTTATTATCTCAATCTCTTCTAAAAGTGATGATAATTCTGTGAAGGTTGCCATTCTCTGATATAATGACAGGAAATTATTCCCTACTATAAAACATACCTCATCAAAAGCTGGCATTCCTCATAGAGTGGTATCTTTTGACTTCTTAAGTACAAGCCAATGCTCTTAATATCACTTAAAACTATGCCATGTTGAGAGTCCTCTTGTGTTAAATATCCTGAAGTCACATCCTCAAGCCATTTAAAAAACTTACATTGATCGGCTTTGGGTGCATCACATGTATAAAAGAGACGACCCTAAGAGGAAAAAAAGATATTAAGTTTAATGAGAAAAATGGTTTTTTAAGCCGAGTTCGGTGGCTCAGCCTGTAATCCCAGCACTTTGGGAGGCCGAGGTTGAGTGGATTACCTGAGCCCGCGGGTTTGAGACCCGCATGGGCGACTTGGCGAGACCTCATCTCTACAATAAATCAAAAATTAGCCAGGCATGGTAGCACGTGCATGCAGTTCCAGCTACTTGGAAGACTGAGACGGAAGGATCGCTGGAGCCCAGCAGGTCGAGGCTGCAGTGGCCAGGAGCAGCCACTGCACTCCAGTTTGGGCTACAGAGTAAGACCCCAACTCAAAAAAAAAAATGGTTTTTAAAAAATTTTTCTATTGTTTTTATATGATATTTGTCAAGACTTTTATAATGACTGCTTGGTGTTAATGTACTTGCGTAAATTAGTCACTATACAACCTAATTTTATTTTTAAACAACAAATTAAAATTTAAGACCATCTACTTTTTCCAATTATTTTTATCAATAGATAAAATATTTATCATTATTCTGATAATAAAAGCTTATTTGAAAATGTATTGTTGTTCTAATTAAATATGCTCACTATAGACAACTTGAAAGCTGCCCAGAAACAACCAACATCTTATGCATTTCTTTCCATCCTTTTTTCTAAGTACACACATACACACACACATACACACACACATACACACACACACACACACACACACACACACACACACAGACTCCCCACAAGGACAGTCATATGTATATTGTTTTACTTTTTTTAAACAAAACTCAGATAATGGTATATTTTCTACTCTGTAATCTAATCCTTATACCTAATATGTTATATAGTATGAGCAGGTAACTATGTCATCAAATAATCTTAAAAAAGAAAACAAAGACTTAGCGGCTGCATCATATTTTAGTCCATGGTTATACTAATATTTATGAATTCTTGTTTTTAACAACTAAATTTAAATCCAAATGTACACACAACTAATAATGATGAAGCGGGATATGCAAACAGTAGAGGAAAGTTGTATTATTAAGAGGGAAAGCATAGTCTTACAGTGAATACAAGCCATCAATCGACATATGTTTTACTAACCTGACTTCCTCCACATATTATCGGCAATATAAATTAAGTCAGTATGCTTTTCTATTCCTTTAGCCTTATCTTTTACTTGTACTGGGGATTACATAATAGACTAGTTTCAGCCTTCATTTTTTTGAAGCTAATCTCTGTATTCTCTGAGCTCTCAGGTTGGGACATATTCCACTTCTCAGAGCTCTCAGTGTAACTTTGGCATATCACTCCTACTTTGTGAATTACAGTAGTATTTAAATTTTTTCTTTTATGTATCACTCTCTATCTAATATTATGTAATAAATCCCTAAGCAACATGAAGGGTAATCTTCATGCATATTTTTGTATCCTAGAACACAGATCATTCGTTCAACAAAACTTTATTGAGAGATCACTATGTGTTAGTCACTAATTCTTCAAATAGATGGCTAAGATTTACTCTTAGGCCGGGCTCAGTGGCTCAGCCTGTAATCCCAGCACCTTGAGAGGCTGAGGCAAGTGGATTACCTGAGCCTGCGCGTTCAAGACCCACTTGGGCAACTTGGCGAGACCTCGTGTCTAAAATAAATAAAAAATTAGCCAGGCGTGGTAGGGCGTGCCTGTAGTTCAAGCTACTTGGAAGGCTGAGGCAAAGGATCGCCAAAGCCCAGCAGGTCGAGACTGTGGTGGCTAGGAGTATGCCACTGCGCTCTAGTCTGGACGACAGAGTGAGACTCCAACTCAAAAAAAAAAAAAGATTCACTCTTAAAGCTTGTCGTGAAGTAATAGGTACCTAAACTTTTTGCAAGACAAGTATTTGGTCAGGTGGGGGAGGAGAAGCAAGAGCAATACCTTATTTGGACCTTCCTTTTTAACCATGACAAGTTTTGCAGGTTGATTATGATGACAGGATGGCACATTGTTTTCTTCGTTTTTCAGTTTCTCTCCTTTCAGTGATGTGTAAAATGATATGTCAACTTTTGAAAGAGCTTTGTGCAACCTATGTGCCAACTCAAACAGCAATATATTTAGATGTTCTATAAAAAAGAAAAGATAGATACAACTGGCCATTAAATAAAAAGTAATGTTGTGTTTGTATCATATATGTGCTATTTGCTACATTTGAAAATAGCCTTTTTAACAGAGTCAATTATAGAAAAATACAGAAAGGCAAGTTTTGCTCTTGTATCTTAAACAGTCAGACCTAATCATGCATTATACTTAAAATTTCCATTTACTTTAAAAAGGTCATTTGTAACACTTCAAGTTTAAAAAAAAATTAAAATACTGGGCTGGGGGTGGTGGCTCATGTCTGTAATCCCACCCCTTTAGGAGGCCGGGACAGGAGAATCACTTGAGACTAGAAGTCAGAAGTCTGAGGTCAGACTGGGCAACATAGTGAGATCCTGTCTCTACAAAAAATAAATAAATTAGTTGGACATGTAGGTAGTTCTACCTACATGGGAAGCTGAGGCTGGAGGATCACTTGATCCCAGGAGTTTGAGGTTACAGTGAGTTATAAGCATACCACTGCATTCCAGCCTGGATAACAGAGTGAGACCTTGTGTCTTAAAACAAACAAACAAAACAAAACTATAAGACTAAAAAGAATATTGTCATTTGCTACCTTTGAAATTCAATTTTGATCAGAAATTAGAATAAAACTTACTATCAAAAACTGGAGTAAACATGAAAAATAACAAATCTGAAATGGAGATTTTAGTATAAAAATGCACAATATAAGATATTCTACTTTGTCAGGCATGGTGGTTCACACCTATAATCATAGCACTTTGGGAGGCCAAGGCGAGAGAATTGCCTGAGCCCAGGGGTTCAAAAACAGCCTGGGCAACTTGTTGAGACCTCATTTCTACAATAAATCAAAAAATAAGCTGGGTGTGTGTTGCGTGTGCCTGTAGCTCCAGCTACTAGGAAGGCCAAGGTGGAAGGATTGCCTGAGCCGGGCAGGTCGAGGCTACAGTAGCTATGAGTATGCCACTACACTCCAGCCAGGGAAACAGAGTAAAACTCCGACTCAAAAAAAAAAAAAAGATATTGCACTTCCTCACAACTCTAAGACTTACATTAAACAGCAATCAAGTATAATAAAATAAAAATATGTCATACCTATGAGACAAGATGTAAAAGTCTGCTTATAATGAGCAGGAGACTGAAAAACAGCTGGTATGTAAATCTGCCTTTGGGGAAGATAAGCAGATTTTATTTTCTGCCCATTTGGGAAGCATAGCTCAGAGTTATTTATCTCCTGCAATGGAATAATTCAGGTTATTATAACAACTCCAGAAAAATACTGTTTACTAATAAGTAAATTATTTGTCATGTATATATTGTTTAAATACTAATTTCTCTTTTGATTTCTAGGATCCTTGAAAATTACTTTCTAATTTTAAATAAGAAACCAAGTATAGAAGAATAGCTATGCACAGCACTTTTAACCCTAAATAAGACTCTTTTTGCCTTCTCCTTAATAAGTTCTTATTTATTTATTTTTTTACTAGGAAAATCTAACTGACATGAATGAATCATTATGCATCTTTATTTCCAGTTATGACCTTAATGAGAATTACAACCAATGTGTATTAAGGTGCACCTTTACCCTAACAATGATTTGATGAGCGAAACTCAGTGGATAGTGAAAAATAAAAACAATCATCATAAAACTAGTAGTGATGGAAACAAACAGGAATAGGAGCTACCACTTATTAAGTACCAATTATGTGCCAGGCACTACACCTGTTACTTTCAAAAATCATTTCATTTAATGTTTACAATTACTAGGAAAGATCTGAAATCAAAAGAGATTATATGACTGTAGCTAGAGTTCTGGGGTTTTTTTGTTTTTGTTTTTAAGTCATCTGCTCCAGAAGTAAAATTGTTCCTGTACAATTTTGGTAATTCTCCTGTTGAAATTCAAACAATACCTATTGGAAAAAGTGCACCAAGAGACTGGTACATTTCCTCACCTGTAAAATCTTTACACTGTAGTTGTAGCAGGCAGACCCTCCTAACACATTTTGAATTTCCTCAGTCTTGGAAGTCTGCTTTAAATTCAGAGAAAGTGCTTTCTTTCTGGAAACCAAATCTTGACTGCTAAAATCCTTCTGCTGTTGATAGAGCATTCCTTTTATCATTTGCAAATGTGCAGAGTCTAAAGAGCTTTCACTGATAGCATCACCCAGGCTTTCAACCATGTCCCTGAGATGCATCCCAGAAACAGCCTCAGCAAAGCCTTCAGCTATTCTCTTATCAACTCTGTTTCGAGTAGTCAAGTTGCACTGGGATGTGTTTTGATATTTTAGCCACTTGCTTTGAGTAGGTATATTATCAAGAAATGAAACATTCCCTGAAATCACTTCCCTAGAGTCTTCACGGAAAGAAATTTCACTTTGGTCCTCAGGCCCAAAGCTGAAAGAAAGAACTGGTGACTCCTCACACAAGTTGAACGTGGGGAAACCAGAAGACTCTTGTGTGTTACAGTTGATCACATATGAACAAGAACCTAAATCAGGTGGTCCATAAGTAGGTGGCAAAGTATTAAGTGGAACTTGGGTTCTACTTACTAATGAAAGATTTTGAAGGTTCTTATTCTCCAGAGAATTGGATTTTTTTATTCCTGAAAGAAAAAAGGAATATTGAATAAACAAAAATGTATTATCAGTTAGTAGTCAGGCACTAGAAAATAGTGGGTATCTATACAAAAGAAAAAAGGATCATCCTGCCCTGCCAAAATACACATACACATACACACAATTTTTTTCCTTTAAAAAATTAACTATTTTAGCCGGGCTCGGTGGCTCAGCCTGTAATCCCGCGCCTTTGGGAGGCTGAGGTGAGTGGATTGCCTGAGCCCGCAGGTTTGAGACCCACCTG